CCCAGACCTGGTTTCCAACTTTAACCTCGTACATTTTTTTTTTTTTCCTTTTCTTGCCATTATGATACCGGATATCCAATTTGGATTATCAGGTCGGTAATTTCTAGCAAATACGGGTTTGTGTACTTAATAACTCTGCGTTAAGAAGTACAATGTAGTTGGTCATAATAAAACTACGAACAGAAAAGAAATAGTACTGCTTTTATTGGTGTTTTCTTTTCTTTTCTTTTTTTTTTTTTGGTGTTGGTGGTGGAAGACCGGCGTAAAATGTCTCCGAAAGGATATACTAAATTAATAAACTCGAACAAACTGTTCTAGGTTAAATCAAAAATGTCTGTTTAGTTAAACAAAAATAACAGAGTCAGATGTAGCTACGATTTATGCCATAAAAGAAATTTTCATTATAACTTCACAATCTGCCGAAGCTAAAAAGAAGTCAGTGATTTAATTTTCTCTCCCTCTTGCATAGTTGTTTTTCAATTTTTTAGCCCTAGTCTGGGCTGCAAAACAACGGATCCAAGTCCCGAAAAATTCTGGTTCATGCAAGCGGCGTAAACATCCTATTGGCGACGCCATGTTGTGGTAATGTGTTGTTCTTCTTCGCGTCATCAATAAACCATAATGAACAAATGACCAAAGATCAGAAACTCTTTCGGAATCTGTTCCAGAACCCCTTCTTGGTTCAACCGATAACTTTTCAATACACACCACCGTAAAAAAATATCCCTACTGTTATCGTTTCAAAGCTATTAAATTTTTAAAAACCGAAGGCTAGGTTTGAAACTTGATCTCGAGTTTATTTTTTTATTTATTTTTCAATCTCCCATTTGAAATCAGGAATAAAAAATAACATTTTCTTTGATATGTGGGGGCTTTTTCGTACAGCATAAGGAAAAGGGTGGGGTTCTTTTAGCGAAGAAGAAACGATAGAAATAAAAATGACGAAGACGTGCTTTTGAGTATTTTACCTCGAGGGCTACATTGCAAGCCAAATATCTTTTAAACTTTTCAGATGCCAAGTCAGGATCGATTACAATAGAGGCCCTTCTTTGGATTTTGTCAAGAATCTCCAGAAATACAGCAGGAGAACCAGACTAGATATGACGGCAATATGTTTGTTCCTATCTATCTATCTATCTATCTATCTGTCTATCTATCTATCTATCTCAGTCTGTTCATATCTATCTATCTATCTATCTATCTATCTATCTATCTCTGTATCATATCTGTTCATATCTATCTATCTATCTATCTATCTATCTATCTATCTATCTATCTATCTCAGTCTGTTCATATCTATCTATCTATCTATCTATCTATCTATCTATCTATCAGCAAATCACCGGATCCCAATCTCGATAAATTTTAGTTTATTCAAGCGGCGTAAATATCCTCTCGGTGATACCATAATGTTGTATTATGTTGTTCTACGACATATGATCATTACACGTTTCCAATTGTTTAGGGTATGCTATAATGAACAAATGACAAAACATCGGAAACTGTTTCCGAATCCCTTCTTAGCTTAACTCAGAACTTTTCGACACATCCTCGTACTAAAATCTTTACTGTTGTCGTTTCAAAGCTATTAAATTTTTAAAAACCGAAGGCGAGGTTTGAAACCTGATCTCGAATTCATTATTTTTTTTTTTAATCTCCAAATTGAAAGCAGGTAAAAAGAAACATTTCCTTTGATATTTGGGGACTTTTTCGTACAGCATGAGGAAAAGGGGTGGATGTTCTGTAAGCGGAGAAAAATCGATAGAAATAAAAATGGCGAAGACGTGCTTTTTAAATATTTTGCCCCGAGATGACTATTACTAGCTTCTTCTATTTTTTCTCTTTTTCCTTTCTTTAAACAGAAATATTGCAAAGTGGGAGACTACGAGGCGTTTAAATCGATATCAGTCGTTTATTCAATGTGAATATATTTCAAAATAAAATTAGCCAAAATGTATAAATACGCTTGACTTCACGTAACGTTTCATATTTAATAAAACGGCCAAAGATGAGAAGCACCTTGAATGTACGCTTAAATCTTTAAGTGTATAATCTAATATATAAAACTTAAAATTTGTGTCTGTGTCTGTTCGAAACTATAAAAATTAATGAAATATGGTGGATTCTCCCGTCGTATTCGACGTATGAGCAGCTCAACTCCTAGGAACCGATAACCAGACACCAGAACATATAATTTGATTATAGTGGTGAAGGGTTTGTGCAGAATCAACCACACTTTTTGGAGGGCCGAATACAGAGACCTGGTGCACTACGTGCCACAAGGTCCCCAAGCAACCCTCCGCAGGTTTTGAATTCAGAGTTGTCCTTCTCCTAGACGAGTTGCATTCCAAGGCTATACAACCCAGTCTGTCCTGCTATTTAACCCATAGCTGGAGGGTATTAGCACGTAACACTAGAAATCGAACTCCGAGCCGCTATCCACTACTCCACCGTGCCTCCCTAAATATATAAATGAAATATATAAATATATAATGAAATA